TGAGTTTTACGGGTAACTTAAATTCGCTTGGAAATCTCGGTTGTAAGTTCACTTCAATACTGTAGTTTGAAGTCTTCGGTGTCTCGTCACCGATACCTACTACCTCACATTTTATTTTTCTGCGAGGGTAGGATAGTAATTGGGCTACTTCTTCTGTGCAGAATGAAGCCTGGGAACCTTGATCACACAGCACTCTTAGTAGGTGTGACGTACCATCTTTGGTGTATGTATGCACAAGGGCCGTCGCTAAAAGCGTTGTATCCTGTGTGTCCGGTCCTGTTGTGGACGACATGTTTGACTTGGTTTTTGTCCAAGTTGTACTTGTAGTAGGGTTTTCAATGGTTTTCCGATCCTTTGACCCTTTATTGTTGTCATCTTTAGTGACGTAATTGTTGACATTACCCTTCTTTTGAATGTCAAGGTGTAATAATGAATGGTGACCTAGTTTGCCACAATGTTTACACTTTCCATTACTATGACATTGAACGGATGAGTCATGTATTATGCACTGTTTGCATTTTCGATTCTCCTTCACTTTATTGTTACGCTGTTCTGCTGACAATGCTTTAAATTGTGCGCACATGTATATGTTATGATTGTAACTATTACATAGCCAGCACTTGTAGCTATTTATAGATTTAGGAATATAATGTTGTTTATAATCGGATTTTCCTTCACAGATGGTATTTTCGAGACACATAAACCGTTTTTCCAGAAATGACATCATTGATGAAAATGTTTGAGGTTTGTTCGGCGTTACGAGTTGTTGTTCGTATTTTTCGTCAGTTTCCGAATCCCAAATACGACTCAGTATTCTTGTTAACATAGGATCCCATGACGAAATATCAATTTTCTGATTTTTAATCGCCTCTAGGTTCTCCTTAATTGTATCATGCAGAAACTTCAAACTATTCGCAGAGCCCACCTTCAGTTTTTGTATGTTGAGAATGTTGTCAATGTGCTTAGTGATAATCATTCTCTCGTTTTCGTAGCGATTCTTAAGCAATGTCCACGCAGTCGCATAGTTAGATTCGCAAACTGTCAAATGCCTAATGAGTCTGGCTGCATCACCTTTCACGTGCGTCTTTAAATACTGCATCTTTTCTGTATCTGTGAGTGAGTTATCTTCATGAATGATTTTTAAAAATAAGTCATAGAACGAGCTCCACGACTCATAACTTCCCATAAACATTGGAATGACTATTCTTGGTAGTTTCACGGATGGTTTGTGATCAGTTTGATGTTGTTGTAGCTTTTCATATAGTCGTTCAATTATGTTATCGTAGTCTGATTTCAGTTTTTCAAACACTTCATCCTGAAAATAACTATGTTCTAAGATGTTTTCTTCCTCACAGATATTGAAGTGGCCTTCTTCAACTTTATCACACTGTTTTTGCAAGGCTTCTAGCAATGTTTTATAGTGATAGCTGGATCTGTCGTCTTCAATCGCCAAGGCTGCTTTCTCGAGGTTTTGACGCAACTGATTGATGCGGTACAATTGCAAATTCATTTTTGCTGAATTGTTACTGTTGGTTCTGACTTCTTCTGGGTCCCGAACACAAGGTTGCTGACAAATTGAAAGTTTTGCCTCACATTGTTCCAAATAATCCATAGCATCTTTATACAGCTCTTTGATGATCCCGAAGTAATTAGACTTCATATAGGTATGTTCTTCTAAGATCTCCTGGTCTTCAATTAGTGAATGGTTTGCCGATGCTTTGGTGAAGACTTCTGTGAGTCGCGATCTTCTTTCTGCGATGTACTTCTCTGTTTTTCTTGATGTCGAATCCTTTTTGATGTTGTTGAATATGCGTCCGATTTCTTTGTAGTGGCTCTCCTGACTTTTCACAATTTCGTTGATTTGTTGTATTTCCATCTTGCTGCCCTATCCTATCCTAACCAACCTAACAATGATATAAGGGGGTAGAACAATTACACTTAGTTGCGATCTATATCCTCGTTACGGTATGTGCGACTTCTCGAGCACCGGGGCGACCCTGTTCAGGGAGACCGATACCTGATCCGCTACCGAACGACGCAAACTAAGTTAGTCAGTCACTTGATATACAACGAAACAAGCGCTAGGTTTATGCGCAAGTCTGCTGTATACCAATTGTCTGTCAGTCAATTAGTCAATTTAAGGGACAAGATGATTCTCTACCGATGACTCGAAGGACCAAAATGTACAGCGTGATAATAGCCTTACGCTAAGATCGCGCTGTACAGGACTAAATACCTAATCCTAAGTACTACTAGCTAACGTTATCCTACACTATCCTAGATAATCTAACACTTACAATATCCTATCCTAGATCCCCTAAGCCCAATACCCTATGTAGTCTAAGTTCTATCCTATATTTGCCTAGCGTACAATGCGTATAGGCTTGGTACTCTGTGGTATACTGTGATACAGACCAGCACTTCTACGCACCTACTACCAAGCCCTTAACCTAAGGCACGTACTATAGTGGTACACTGTGGTATGCTGTGATACAGACCTACTCTTCGTACGCGCCTAATGCCCTAGCCCTACAGTCCCTAGACCCTAGCCCTACTATACGTATTTATATATACTTATATAGATAGGTGCAGGATATCTGCCAACTGAGACCTATGATGGCAGACGGAATGTGGGTAGGAATGGGGTATGGTGGTGATGGTTTTCTCACTGCCTGTCGAGCAGACTCACACGACAGATCGGTTGATGGCTAAAGGTGTCTTGGCCACAGTGAGAGGTGGAGGAAGGGTAGTGAGTCAAAGTCGGAATCAACTTAATGACTCCTTTATTGCTTAATCTACATGATCTTATATACTAAACTTATCCTATGTACACACATACCACATTATGATTGTGTGCTATGCGTGTAATGTACCATCTCAGTGCTATATACCTTACGTGATTACGTGATGTTTTATTAGTTTTATATATTTAATAAGTAATATGTTTTCCTTATTTTAATCACGTAGGATTATCTCGCTGAAATGGCACGTTCATGTGTGAACAATATATGTATATATATATTATATATATAATATATATATACATATATTTGTTATCTTTTATAAATATTAAACGTCAAACATTTTATTTATATATTATTATTATTCATTTTATATAAAAAAAATATAAAAAACCCATTGTTATAAAACCAGAATTTAAAAATGATAACACGGAATTGAACCGGTGCCCTTCGACGTCATTATTCTATCATTCATATTCATCCGAGCTACCGATCGCATTTTTTATGATGTCGAAAATGCGGGTTAGTTTATAACTTTTATTATTGTCTATTATTAATTATTGACGCCATCTTTTAATTGGTTTGCTTGACTTGACTTAGATGGCGCTATATTAAGTCCTCGGAAATGAGAAAATTAACATAATTTATGTGTATTTGAATATAAATATATTGTTGTTTCTTAATTATTATTTTAACCATTAAAAACCTTATTGTGTGCCTCTGCAGTGTTAAGTATTCAAGCTTTGCAGGGTTATTTTCATTTTAAACCAGCGCCATCTTGTTATCAATGGTAGCGTTATGCAAAACCTGTCAGTCAATAGTCGACCTTAAGCTCTCCATGCATTTTTGTCACCCTTAGTACATAAATACATACATAGCCTGTCAAAATTATAACCCTCCTTTTGCTTTGCCGTAGTCGGGTAATAAAATTAGGTGGGAGCGATGCACTGCGCCGCTGTCTGACGACGAATTTATTTGTGTTAGTTGTCACTAACTCAGTGGCAGTCCCATGCCTGACCTTCATATATGATGATACGAGCAACGAGAGAGCTGTTCCATATAAACTTGCGTTTCTCACAGAACTTACTAACATATCTTCATTTAAATTAAACTGAATGAAAATATTTTACGAGCAAATAGCAATATGTCTAAACATTTCAGTCTGTATGTTTCTCTTTTTATCTGTTGTACATTTTTATAATGAAATCTTTTAATTTATTCCAATGTTACACAAAAGGCAACTGAAGAGGGAATCGATGCTCCTTAGAAGCGTCTGCGTCTTGACAGGTACCCGAGTACTGTGAGGCGATAGGATTGACAAACAACGAGAACTGATTCAATATCTCCATTGACCTCCATTTATTGGTTCAGTTCTAGTAGACTAGCCTACCGGCCAACAGGGTAGTCTATTAGAATACTGTCAACGCTACAGTGTGCTTTCGTGAGTATGAATTATTATATCACATGTACGTCATGTATGTATATACCTATGTATTTATGTCATCATTGATTTAATTCGCAAGTGTTGCTAGTAGAAATCCGTTAGTAAACTTAGACTGCACGGGCTCACCACCAGATTACGCTACACTGCACCTCATTCTGCAATATCTCAGGCAGTTGTCGTAATTATAGATCGCAGAGCGAGGTATTCAGTTCGCGTCGTCTTATGTCTGAGTGGCGCAGCTCTCGAGGCCGCTCCGCGCCAGCTTTGGCTCTGTGATTATGTTTTAATCTGGCCGCTTCAATGACACCTGACCTCGCTTGCGAACACGTCCGCGATAACATGCACCCTCACTCAGCCTCCAACGTTATGTTTAGCCACCAATACATGTAACTTATAGCGTTCGTGGGTAATCTTAAGACATTGACCTTATTATTATTTTTAACGGCTAACTCGCGAAACTGTTTCACGAGGAACTCGATTAGTTACAAGTCACAAAAGGAGCTCATGTTCATGAGCAGGTTGCGCGACACACGACGCGGCAAACCTTGCAGCTCCTCAAAGAGTTAGCATGAGTTCAATACAATTCACGAAGGAAGTCTCACGCTCACTATCTCTCCAACGGCCGTGGTCTGATCTTTTCTATCGTCTGGCTGAAGCTTATATTAAGCTTAAGTTTGCAAAAAATGTATTTTATATTCCATCCTAAGTAAAAGTTAGCGCGGCGCGTAGATGCCGCGATGTCCCGACGCAGATTAATTTAAGTTTGTAAACTGTTGGCATCAAGTTTACTTCTTCCAGCGGTTATGATATAAAAGTTATGCCGCGCACGCCGCCCGCCGTTGGCCCCAACATGGCAACAGCTCCCGTGGCCACTCCTCGCGCGGACTCGTCACGTCTCTTGATGCCAAGGCCCCATAATGTGACGACGTATAACAGAGAAACTGTGAGATGATGTGTGTGTCATATGACTGTAGATGTGTGAGTGTATGCGTTGTACTGACGGCGACGGCGGCGTCGACGAGCAGGTAGAGCGGCGCCAGCGCGCGCAGCACGCGGCCGCGGAACACGAAGACGCGCCGCCCGCACACACGCCGCGCCTCCAGCACCACCTGCGGGACCACGCGCACGCCACTATACATGCAGCTCTATAGAACGCACCAATGTCATATTGTTGTTGCTGCTGTCCACTCCCCACACGACGATTTTAAAAGAAAAACAATTACCTACGTTTATTATTTGTATCGTATTAAGGACAGATTTAAACAGAAGAACTTTTACTGCTATTTAAACCTTTATTTAGTAAATAAGCGCCAAAGTGCTTTTTTTAAATGTATTCGAAGATTTTAAATGAAAAATGAATGAAAAATACATTAGGGAAGTAGGAAGCTAGTGGTGACGTCAGAGCGCGCTACAGAGAGAGTCCTGTTTATTGAAGCTAGTTCACAGCCGAGCCGCAGCCACGACAATGCGAAACCTCGATATCACCATCGATACAGCCATTACAATAATGGACGATGGATACTACACTCTGACAACTGTTGCAGGCGAGTAGCGTTGACTTGTTATAATATTATGGGAATGACGAATGAGAAATAATATTTGTAACGAGTAAAAATCAGAGAAATAGAGAATTTATTTACTGTCGGATCTGTCCTTCGCCTGTGTAGGCCACTATGTAGCACAAGAAACGGTTGATATTATGTATCAATACAAAAGGTTGGAGCACACGGAACAGATACAGAATGCATCGCATGCATGTAACGACCTACTTGTACACAAGTTTACAAATAGGCGGCGCCGCGCTGGCACGCCGCCACGACGGGTGACTTCACTATATTATCACATTTCCGAATCAGCTTAAACTTCAATTTTCTTCACTTTGTTTTTGTACTCACTGTACGTTGCTTGTGTGCAAAGTTAGTGCATTTTCCGATTATTTAATTTGAAATTTTTAAGTAGGTTTCGAAGTAAGCGCGGTGATCGACGCTCACTTCCCGAGTAAGAAAATGTTTCAAACTGATTTATTTTATACAAGTAGGTTCACTCTCCGCTACATGCCGCTGGAAATGAATGCTGGGTGTTACATTTAGTAGTTTTAACTTGTAAGGTTGTTCTGTGTATACATGGCTCATACAGTGGCATCTAGACAAATGCCACCTCATTCTCTACCCATTTCATTCAGTATAATCTCATTATACTTAAACGAGAGAGACATAAAAACAAAATGGATCCTCGAGGAATAACTTCACATTAGTACAATGTAATGTTACTGGCAGTATTTCATAATTAAAGGAGGTGTAAGTGTACAACAACATGTAGCGGCGCGCGGCGGCACTGAGCCCGCTCCCCTCCACGCGCCACGGACTCTCGTTAGCGTCGGCTGATGTCATTTATTTAAACTCATATAATATTATAGTCTCTTAGAAAACCACTGGCTTGGCTGGACATTACTCGATGTCACAATACGCAACAAAATTGTAAGTACCGCAAATGACATTTGTACACTATTTTACATAGAATGCAAGAGTAAGAGTAATGACGTAGGTTAGTACTTTTCAGGCTCTTTGAGGAGTGCCTTGAGAGAGGTCGTGGCGGTAGCCCAGTAACTCAGACGAGAGAAGTAATTTGATGATTATCCCTCCACAAAAAAGGCTTCCGTTGCGATGCACGTCTGTGGGTAACTAGACGCGCATGATATTAAACTTTGGCCAACCGTACGAGCTAACTCAGAAACACTATTATTAGGGAAATTAATTAGAACGAGAGAGCTCGGGCGCTGCGAGTAATCCGACAATGATTTGTGTTGACCTTTACTCGCTTCTCTGTATACATCTCGACAAAGTAAATGAGTGTTAGTAATGCGACGTTTTGAGTAAAATTAAGTTCAATCATTGTATTTAACTGTCTGTGTTTGTTGAATATATATTACACCTGAAACGAATTGGCAAGTTGTATGGGCGGTGGTCCAGCTCGGCGGAGTGGAATAGCGGTGAATATACGGCCAAACTTGATAACTGGATTAAATCTTTCAACACTTTTTCAATGACGTACGTAGCTCTGCTTAGGACTCTGGTCAAGTAGTCTTATTTCTACTAATATCTGATTCACACGATATACCAAGTAAACTTTTACGGTGTTATTTTAACGACGGTCCAGGGACGGTGCTGATTGCTTACCATCAGGTAATACGTCTGCTCGTTACCCGGCCTACCAACAACAAAAAAAAAAAAAAAGAAGTGGATATAGCCGCGGCTTAAAACTATTTCGTTACAAGGCAATGCAATTGAAGCACTTTTCGTTTCCAAGCGCATCCCCGAAACTGGGAAAATATAGACTACCATACATTATACAAGACGAAAGGAATTTTGGTTGAAAGCGATTGAAAGTAGAGGAAAACACGCGCTGAACAAGTTGAAAGCGCTTTTACAAAATGAAAAAAGGTTGGAGTTTAGCGCTGATCAAAGTTGAATAACGCGCTTCGAAAGATTTTGATTATTTTTTTTGTATTTATTTTCAAAAGTAAGTTTTTTCTAAATTCAAAAAGTATTGCCTCATTGTGTGTGTATGTGTGTGTGGAATATTATCAGAAACTTTCCGTTTCATGGAATTAACTTAATAAAAAATACGGTTGAATGTACCACGGACGTTATTTAAATGATAAATAATGCATTCAATGTTCCATTCAGAAACATTTTATGAATATTTCTTTGCAAAGATTTGGCTTTTAATAAAACTCGTGAAAAAAATAATTAAGAAGGCTTCCTGGAAAAAATTTCGTGCTTTGTGAGGTACTTAAAATTGTTTTATTTTGTTGCTTATTTGAAGACTAATCACGCATCTTAAATGGAGTATAAGGCTTCTCATTCAAACAAAAGCACAGCGAGCCGACTCAGCCGGGCCCTCACAGTGCTCTGTTATTTAGAAAGTCCCGAAAGCGCTGACTTAGTTTTGGAACTACAGACACAAGCGATTTAATTTGAGCTAACATGTCGCATACGCACACATAAGTACAAAAGTAAATATTCCCGCGTGCATGAAATCAATAAGGATATTACTCAGAGTGTCACGCCGAGGCGCCGCTACTCGCCTGAACTGCCAATCAGCAAGGAGGTAGTAATAAAAAGCAACCCTCAGTCAACGTTGATAGACATGTGACAGTGATTGCGTTCTCCGGGCTCTGGGATTTGCGACACGTTCGGTTTGTTCAGACCTAGCTCTAGGAAGGTAAGTATTTACTTCTAGCCTACCTTAATAATATTTGTAAATACCGACCAGTGAAGGTCAACACCTCGGAGGAGCATCAGAAGTTAACAATACCCCACAATGCACTGATACGTAATGAGTATTTACTTACACAGTGAGTCGCGAACATTATATTAACATGAACGCTTGTTACCCTGATCTCCACTTCACCGTAGGGCGGCACCCGGCACTCGCGCGGGCAGAACATCGCCCGCACCTCGTCTGTGTCGCCTGCAACAATTTATATATATAAGTATTCATTTCTATCCCAGCTTCCTAACACGGAACACAATTATTGAACTACCCGTAGCATTACTATAAAACCATTAGCAAATATCTGTGACCGTGAGACTTTTACGAGTTTACACTTAACGCTATATTACGTATTATGCAAAGCAATGGTCTAAAAGCCGGCGCAGTTACAATGAAACACTGAGCTGGTCCTTGCTCGCGGCAGACGGACGGAGGCGGCGGTTTATTCCCTAATAAAGTTTTATTCGTCAAAAGAATCGCCGGCCAGCAATTACAGCCCGGACGCTCTCTAGGGAATGTTCGCGATTAGAGAATATACTCGAAGTTATGTACAATGTTGTACTGAACTGTGGGCTGCGAACTGCAATTTGCCATTAATTAAAGAAAATTTTATAATTCAGTTCTCCCTGTGGGCAGCTGAGAGGCAGATGATCTTAAGATTACTTGCGACTTGGTTCGTCTCAGTTTAGTCGTAACGTTGCTGCAATTTAATAAAACACCCAGCAACAGCGGCCGTCTACCTCTGCAAAGAATATCAAGTGTTGCTTTATTATAAACATTATTGTATGTCAAACAAAGCGTCCCCTCGCCCCCCCGGCCCGCGCCCCCGCGCCCCCGCGCCCACACAACACAAGCACCTCATCAAGGATTCAATAAAATTGGAGGCAATTTGTTTCAGTTAGCGAGTCGGACCTGGATGAGCAACAACTGAGGACTGAGGAATAATGGAAATAATCTCCGCTAACATACATGCTAATGTCACTCAGTCTGTCTTTCACGTTTACTCACTGAACCGAATTTTATGAAAGACTAGCTTTCGCTTGTGGTTGTACCAGCGTTAAATTTGGAGGATTTTTAAAATATTCCGCAGCTTCCGCAGCTCCATATTCTGTGGGAATATAGCACTAATGGCCGCTTCACACAACTCCCCGAATAAACGCTTTCGAATGTAAGGTGAACATTTATAAATCGGTTCAGAAGCTTCGAAGCAATCAAACGAAATCACACAAAGTTAACAACACGAATAGGCCAACCCAACAAGACTGATCCCGCGGTCACTCTACGAACGGAAAAATGGCGTGACGCTTGCGACAGTTTAAAATAACAAAATCGAAGAATAATAAAGTAATAACCATGTAAATTGAAATTAAAAACATTGTCATACCGCTAGTACTCATGGAAATTTAATGATACGGGATAAGAAAGAAAGAAAGAAGAAAGAAAGAAAAACCATTTATTACGCCACGACATATAAAAGGAATACAGGTACACACACACAAAAAGCCCATAGTGCGTCGCAGCGCAAAAGGCTGGAGCTCAGCTTAATACTGTGGCCCGAGCACGAAGGCACGAGTCCACGGCGCTGATTTTCAGCACCAGCCTGTAGTAGTACGTACTAATTATATAATACGGTAACGCTGTTCGGAGTACAAAATGATAAGATAAGTAAAATTTAAACAAACAAAAAAGAATATTTAACATAAAAAATTGAATGGAAGTGTTGTGTACATTACTTTATTGGTTAAAATGGGTGACCTGTTATAACAATTCCTTAAGAATCGACCTAAGTGGTCGATTACGATTACTTACGATACAATCTGTATAATTGTTCCAGTTCCAGCATTGCTGACACTCAATTAAACATTGTGTTTAATTTATATTTGTATTATTCTTGTATCGATTTATTGCTTTGAGCAAGATACCAATTAGCTGTTGGGAATTGTAAAAACGACTAGCTCAGACTACTTCCATTCAATAGTAGGGTACAAAACAGGAATAACTCATTTTTACGTTTTCTAAACAGTAGGTATATTGTGATTTTAAATAGAATAGGTGCTTGGAATGATTTATAATAGGAACAGAAATAACGTAGACGTAGAGAGAAGAACCCGGGTGGGTTAATACGTATAAACATTTCGGCCAGCGCATGTGTTTACGCGAGAACAATAATTAGAGGAACTGCTGAAGTACCCGCAGCAGTGGAGGGCTCACCGACGCGTGCCGACTGCCAAACACCGGCCACTTGCTATATGTACACGACAATGTTTTCATTTAAATTCAGCCCTTTTACACCTTTGAGTATTCCACGTGTCGCGTGTCGCGGGTACAAAGTTGTGCAAACATCCAGAGTACTTCATTATCTCATTACGTCCGCGCCGCCGACTGTCGCAGCCTCCCTCTTTCATTCATTTCCTGTTGTGTCGTTTGTACTAGCACTTTATACTTTTACTTGACATAACATTACGCACTTTATTTCCCAAAGGGAGATGAGTACACATTCAGATGTGTTTATATGATTAGAAAATGTTAAAAACCGTTAAGACTCCACGACACTTCGCTTGAGTCTCAGGCAAGTTGATTAAACCCTCGCTTCAGCCGTAGATGCGGTCTGATGAAAAAATGGAGAAAGCAAATGAGGCATCCGCGCTCAATGAAACCGCTGACCTTTGCGGCCGCCAGAAAAAGGTGTAAAAAACGTTGCACAAACTGGGCGTCAATAAATTCAGTTCCACTTACTTATTAAACGTACTTATCAAAAAGTTGTGAGTAGATTTTGATTCTGAATCGCCTGTTTTGAAAACTGGTGCAGTGCTGTACTACTCTCGCGAACTTTGAGAGTTCTTTGTGTCTGTGAAGTGGGGCCACTAATGTGTGGTGTGTGGAGTGCATGGTGTGGTAAATAGTGGTGCAGTTACCGGAGTGGGAGTCGAAGTGCACGGCGGTGGGCAGCGGCGTGACGTTGGTGAGCCGCAGGCGGTAGCAGGTGCGGCGGCCCACCGTCAGCGCGCGCCGCGGCCGCAGCGTGGCCGTGCCCCGCGCGCCGCCCGCCGCGCCGCCGTCCAGCCGGCATCCGCAGTCAGCTGCTTATACTTCTCTACTATTATCATCACTAGGCACTACGTAGTATAAAACAAACTCGCTTCCTCTGTCCTTATATCATGATTTTAACAAAGGTCACATTGGCGATGGCGCGGGCACCAGATCGCTCAATACGGTTGAGTTAGCCGATGCTGCTAGTGTCCTTAATGTTATTTTCTTTGTTCGTTTCTCTGAATAAATATTAGTGTCACACTTTTGTCACATAATCAAACCAACTAAATAATTTACCAAAGAATCTGTACGTGAAACTGATTCAAAAAGAGTATTCACGGAGTTAGTCGGAATCTAAACTTTGGAACGAGAAAATAGCTTCACCAACACGACTGAACGACACTTTCTATTTTGGTATTTCTACCTTTATGCTTTTTTTAACGTTCAAAAGTGCCTGTACGTACGTAAATTAAAATAAATGATTGTGACTTGACCTTGACTTTAGGTCGCTATTACTCTATATAATATTACCTACCTTGTGTTAAGATATCAGAAGTGGTTCAATGTGTACAGTAGCTACATACATAGTAGCTGTTCTATGTGTATTATATCTAACATTATCTCTTAGGATAACAGTTGCAAAATGTGAATGTGTAAAAAGGTATAAGTAGCATGATAGTCGTCCGCACTGACCGTCGTGGTGCGAGGCTGTGAGCGCGCAGGACAGCAGGCGCAGCACGAGGCGCGGCGCCAGCACGCGGTACGCCACCAGCGCCGCGCGCGCCCCGCCGCCCCCGCCGCCCCCGCCTCCCCCGCCTGCCCCGCCGCCCGCGCCCTGTTCGCGGCGCACGCGCACCAGCGTCGCCACGCAGCCCTCGCCCTGCGCACACAATACACACGTCGCGCATCCTTACACTATTTGTCTCAAGTACAGGGATAACTAAATTATAAGCGATTGTTTCGCCACGATAGGCACTAACCCGCCTACGCTTGTTTAACTCCATACCCATCTATACTTTGGAAGAACATCTAGTTGCACATACACACCATTCTATTAATCGTCCTGAAATGAAATGGCATGAACAGTGAACACACCCACGCGGGTGCGGGGTTTAGAACGTAGCCAGTGATTTTTTCCCGAGCTACATGGTACTATCCGGACTTACAATTCAAGTTATAAGTATTGAAACCGGCAATCCACCTTAAGCAAGCTTTAGCCGGGGTTGCGGGGTAAGCGCAATGTGGTCCCGCGACCTCGGCCCAGAACAGGAGAAGGAACAGTGGGGTTTTTAGTCAATAAGAGTCTGACACTCCCTCTCGCCCGGCCCTGGGCGGGAGAAGTCATTCGATGATTTTCCCCTCACAAATAAAAACCTTAAGCAAGCTTCATGATTGGTTAATGACCATAGCTTCACCGAGTGAAAAGAGACTTGCTCAACTGTGAGCTCTTAAAAGCTGATCTTAAGGATCATAATTGCACGAACAAAGTCTTGCACTTGTAGTAGTATTCGTTTTATGCTAATAATTTTATGCCTAGCGAAATACACGTGTAACACGGTAACAGACAGCAACAGAGTAGTAAGTAGTTGCATTTCGTTGGTTCAATTGTGCACTATTTCTGGCACTTGACGCTGCGGGTCGATCATTTTTGTAATTTTATTATTATAATTATTCTGCGTAGTGTAAGTGAACCGGCAATATTTACAAGACTTTATCATTACCTAGCAGTTTATCATTTCTAAATGTAGGTACCTTACCGGCACATTTTTTATTATCTGATGGTATGTAAGCAATCTGCGCCGCCCTTGGGTGTCCATGGGCGGTGCAACAGAGGAGTTACGAGTGCGTTGCCGACCTTTTGGGATTAGAGATTTGGAGATTTAGGGATTGGGGGAAGGGAAGGATTGAACCTCCGGTAAGATCAAATGGGAAACACAATGCTGTGGTTGTTTCAAGCCGGTTTTCTGTGAGGCCGTGGTATTACTCTGGTCGAGCCGACCCACTTGTGCCGAAGCATGGATCTCCCATACTAACACTTAAAATGAAAGTATGACTTGTGGTCGTCGAAACCGTACCGTTTTACTCTACTTATGATTACCTACACATCCAAATAACTACTAGATAAATACTCAGTAAACAAAACTATGGAAAGAGGTCGCACGCTGGAGTTATATGTATTGAAATGTTAAATCCTTTCTTCGGACAACTCTTTAAGATGGTAATTGAAATAGTTGAACCGACAGAGTGCGGTAATCGATAGCCTGGTCGGAACAAGTTGCGGAGTCGCGCCGCCGCCGCCTGCTTCTCCGAGGGGATGTAAAGTTGGTGGAGTGGTCACAACTTAGGAAGCGCTGTCCGCTATAAATCTACTTTTAAACGAGAAATTTCAAACTTTGTCAAGTTGCGCTAGATGTTTGTGCAGCCTCACTAACGTCCACTTCACGTAATCATCTCTCGCACAAAGAGGGACTATCATGATTTATGCGTCCAGTAACGGGTCGGTCCGGCTCACACGCACGCGCTGGTGATATTTGCCGACTTTTCCGGTGCAGTCATTCGCAAACGATGGCCTGCGTGACCGAGGAAAATAGGGATTTATGCACTACCTACTGTGTTTGGGTGGATTTTTACTAGTGGTTTAGGCATTAGCGCTTAGCTTAGAGAGCCGTAGCCTTTTAACTATTTAGATAAAATTGTTCGGAGCAAGAAAAATATGAGGGGAATATTGTGTATACCGCTATTAAGTTGAATATCGTCACATTTAACAATTTCTTCGAAGACTTTCAACAAACTAATCACCTAGACTTACTGAATGCTTACGATATATTTTCGCTAATCCACACTAATATTATAAAGAGAAAATCTTTTTTTTTGTATTGGATAGGCTCAATATTATATATACATATATAAACAGTTTGTATGTACTGAAGTCGTAACTCCAGGCTCAATGAGTGGAAGGAATTTGTACTGTTTCTGTAGGTAACTGCTGCCCGGTCAGATCGACAATTTAAGAGTCATCGTAAAACACTGGCTGTTTGTATTGTTTGTGACTTGTATTGAGATTTTATTGCAAATAAAGGTTTGGAGTAAAAACGGGAAGGAAATCAAAGAAATATAAGGAGTTGCGGCAAGCGTACCTCAGGTGCATTGACGTCGTAGCGTATGGTGTCTGTGGCGGCGTGAGGCAGCACGCCGCGCGCCGGCCGCAGCATGGCGCACGAGCACGCGCGGTCGTGGCAGCGCTCGCACGCCGCGCGCCCGCCGCACGCCGCCGCCGGCTCACTCTCACGCCACCACCGGAATGGTTCCGCACACCACTGGATCTGTTCTCATACCACATGCTATCATTTTACCAACTCAACTAGTTACTTGTATTGTACACATTAAGAAAATATTTCGTCTGCCTCGCGATCCTGAGTTCCTGTAGGAAGCACAAAGAAAAGATGTTGTAATTATATTTTCAAAGAAAAACTTGACCCTTGACAAAATTTGCGGAGTAAGGGTGTGTCTGTGTAATACTCCGCCCACTTCCTTATCTGCCACCTTCCTGTTAACACTAAACCTACCGGGGTAGGATGTAACGCGGTCATACTCTCAACTCCCAAGAAGCGAACAATCTTGATACGTTACATACGGTACATATTTGTAATGAAATATTATAGATACAATTATTTTATGAAAGACGATGGAAGGCCATAGTCTTTCATCATCATTCGATATTAACCAAAAATCTTTTTATGATAACACGTTGTTCATTTTATCATAACACTAACTAAGCATTAGACTTTTCCTTTTTTTTCAATAATTTTATTAAAGACGGTTATTAAGATTAATTATAAACCTTGCCTTTATGTAAAAAGTATCCCGTTTATGTGGCAGTCCATTCGAAACCGTTCAATGAATAAATACCTTTACTAGACTCAATTTAAAGTAGCGTAACGCGAAAGAAGATTCAAACTTTTTCATATTGGGATCGGGCGGTCTGGTCATTGTTGTGGTAGGAACAACTAATTTTTCGAACATGTTATCAAAGATGCATTAATCACACATTTTTATAATTTTGGTAATATTTTGATCGACCGAGTAGTCGTATCATGTACGTGATGAAAGTGTGCCTCATTCCAAGAAATGTAAAAAAGTATAATATACGCATGCTACAGTATGTAGTTATAAATGTATTTTACTCGAGTGTTTAATGTATACGGAGAAAATACACAACATTTTGCAAAAAAAGCGCAAACAAATAAAACAACCGTCGCGTCGCAGTGTGACGGCCGACGCTGATTTATATCAGGGAGGTACAAGTAATCCTGCGCCTGACAGACAGCCGCGGATGATACAACAGCTCTGAGGAGACTTTCTTATTTAAATAAGACGGTCATAACGTAACTAGCTCTATTTGTTTAATTTATGTAAACACTAATTTGACCCAGTAACATTAACAAACATATTATATAATCAATCATAGAGGAAAAGAAAAATGAAGCTGATCTGAAATAAATAATCACTTTCTTCTTCTACCTCTAAAGTGGTTTTTTTATGGGAAACGTGCAGGTGGATTAGCTGATGGTAAGCAATCAGCGCCGCCCATGGACACTCGCAACACCAAAGGAGTAACGAGCGTATTTCCGGCCTCTTGGGAATAAGGGATTCGGATATTTAAGGATTGGGAAGGGATAAGAAGGGATTGGAAGGGATGGGAAGGGGGAAAGGATTGGGCTCCCGAAACCTCACTCACACGGCGAAATACAAGAGGCTGTGGTTGTTTCACGCTGGTTTTCGGCGAGGCCGTGGCATCGATCCAGTCGAGCCGACCCATTCATGCCAAAGCTTGGCTTTCCCACACTTGGTTAAGGTATATAAATCTGTGAATAATCATAACTTTCAGCAGGTGCCATAGTTCCCATCATACTAGGCCCATCGCAATCCACACTCGCTATCCTAGTCCTATACCAACCGGGGTCTGTCTTTGGGTGCATCTTCATAGTGCTCGTACCTCCCCGTCCCGTGGGGAGGACCTGGACCTTTAGAAGTTTGAATGGATAGAATAATAGTAACAGAAGGCTGTACGTGTTGATGCGTGTCGTTCCAGATTTGGAAGTCGGTCTGCATGCGTGTGCCGGGCGCGACGACGCCGAGCCAGGCGCGCGCCGGCCGCAGCGCGGGGTGCCGCGTCGCGCAGTGCCGCGTTATCCTGCACTGCGACTGCCACTCCTCCCCCGCAGCCAGTCTACGGTCATATACATGCCAAATCTATCCAGCTTCTAGTACACGTACGGACAATGAGATTGGGTGTCTCCACTCACTCGATAAAGGAACCAACATTTAGAACAGACACAGCTAGCAGTTAGTGTGCGTAACTAGTAGCTGTTACAGTTTATCAGAACTTGTCAAAGATACAGGAAGTACAAAATCTCCTTCAAATACTTGAGATGTCGCCCGAGGCCTCGGCGAAATGAGCCCGGGTTGAGATTAGGTACTGCAACTTAGCAGCCGCTTTTAATTTAGAAGAGTTTGTTTAGAAAATTGCCCAACTTTTTACCGAAACTGACGGCTGGAGTTATAATGTTTGAAGAGGGTTCCTCAGGAATTATGTTACTTGTTTGATTGTAATCGGTTTCGTAGAGCGCTTTACAATTTCGGAGTTGGAGGTACCTACTTGTACGACGTTTTAAGTCACAAACGTTTGTAATGTTGGTGAGAGCAGTTTGTTACATCGGTACACAGGTAGGAACTGAATTGATACTCGACTCTAGTGCTCTACTGATTTCAAGTCAAACTTGTGATTAAAGCAAAAGATACAATCACGCTTACGTAATGACATTAGAGTCTGGGAGCTCATTGGGCAGACTGGCCAGTGGGTACCGCAGCGACGTCGAGCAGGTCTGCGCGGGTGCCAGGGTGAGGGGCTCGGGGGGCAGCACCGCCTCTGGCACCTTCCACGACACGGCCGCGCCCTCGGACCCAAACAGCTGAGTCGCGTGGATGTTTACCATCACCGAGTTCAGCCTGCGGCGAAACCATGTGTCATGCTGGTAGCACACTGGCAGCGTGTAGTACTCGTAGTGTAAGGTTACCTCCGGGAATGCGGCAGGTTCAGCACGGGCGGGTCCAGCACGAACCGCACGGGCGCCACCTCCCACCACACCTCCACCTGGCCACACACCAGCTCGCACACCTCGCGCGTCTCGCTCTGCGACAAATCCTTCACTTACACTGATCCTTTAGCTACACTAGATCAAATCGCTAGATACAATCTAATTACTTATACCACACCTACACATGCCAAGCAAAGAGCAATACTTTACATATTTCTCGAAACGTTTTGTTGGTTTTTAACACGATTGCTCAAAAAAGTAGTAATTCATAAACTACTAAAGAGATTTATCACTATGTTGATGTTAGAATGACCTATTGTATGAGTCCAAGCAGAGAGAGAGAGTGTATTCGTTTGATACATCTTGTATGCGTACTGTATGTATGTACACGGGTACTCACCTCGAATCCCGGTATTGCCTCCGTTGTCTCCTCCCTCACGCTCACGATCATAGCATCGTAATCTGGAGGCAACGCCTGCTTCGGGATATCCTTCAGTATCAACCTGCACTCAATGGAAAGGAACATACCTCCTATTAATTAAGGTTAAGAGTACCTATGTGTACTAAAAAATAAACTCTGATGCATTTTACACATATTTCGTAACGACTCGGAAGAAAGGCGACTAATAGACATTTTTGTGAATCAAACTTTACATAAAAATAATACCAAATCTGGTAAAAAGAGTACACTGAGCCTCTGCCTAGTCCTTTCAGGTTGAACCACAACTGCATCCAAGTCTAGCATTAGTGAAAGATGATGAAGCTACAAAGAACAAGTGGAATAATCACATGAGCACGGCGCGCTGCACGCCGAGGCGCGCGCCCACGTCGGGCACGTGCACGTGCGCGCTGCACGACGAGCGCGGCAGCAGCTCCCCCCCCGCCGCCTGCACGCGCACCAGCCGCGCCGCCTCCGCTCTCTGCGCGCGCTCGGGCTCCTAGCCACGTCACCACGCTACACTCGGCTCACTACAATACTACAGCTCTACACTATACTACACCTAGCATTGTGGCAGTAGACAGCCACATAACACCTGCCTCGATCAGATTGTAGGTCACGTTCCAAGTTTACTTGGAACTTCTGAATGTGTTAATCTCTCGGATTTGCAAATAGTCCCAGCGGTGGGATACGAGTAGTATTAAGCTCTCTACGGATACATTAATGCCTCGAGCCGTTTGTGTTTCGCTTGGTTGAGCTATATTTGTATCGTGTGTGTCATACTGTGGATCATACTGCGCTGTCATGCTCAATCGTTACAAATAACTAGTAAAGTGCACCAGTAGGTACTTACACCGTCAGCGTTGGCGCGTGACTCCTTGGCCCCGGGGCAGAGTCGTTCGCTGCAGTCCCCGGACCGCAGTGAGCCGGCGGACTGTTCCTCCTCCTCCCAGCAGGAGCACAGGCCCCACGGACGGACGCTCCAGTAGTACGAGTACGCAACTGGACTGAATACTTTCCATATTACTAGCAATGTGAGAGCTTATACACTAAAATCTTTTAATGATTTTAATTTGCGAAAATGCCAATCTACCGTACTGACCATTTTAAACCATAAAGTTTTTGTTGTTAAAGCATTTTTTTTTGAAATCATTTTATATATGCATGTCTTTTCTAATGGTTTTGTCTTTATAGATAAATAAAATTTGAAGTAATTTATAGAGTACCGTCGTGGCAGCACAACGGCACGCAACATCGAAGCGAACTCTACAACGCACCACAGTGTACCAGTTATTGGTTTGCCTATCAGGTATTTGTTCCCGTGCAGCTAATTTTATAACGAAGCACATGTTTTTAACGCTCATTTCGATAGGCCTAATAAATACAATTAGTAGCAGCAACACTGGATATTTCTTTCTCAAGTCGTGGTGTAAAAACTAGTATGCTTATTAAAATAAACAATAGTATTGTTTCAATCAGAATCCTGTGTACGCTTGATTGCTGTTTCCAGTTGGCGCCGCGAGCAGTACGGCGCGCGCGTGCAGCGCTCTATACAGCGCTAATGGCTGCTTTTGTTGGCAATGTTTCGCTCGCAATCATTGCCGGGACACACGATAACTACGTTCGTAACAGGTCACCAGTTCTCAATATGGAAATTAATTGCAAATACTGAAACAGTTCGTATTCGTAATGTGAAGCAGAAATCATTGAATGCCCGGTAATATCGCATGGCTGCTTGAAGGAATAATTAATACAGAATAACTTATTGTTCCCGGATTAAGAGCATTACAATATTACAGTAAAAATGGTGGATAATAATATTATGTACCTTGATACTCATATTCAAACGCAATAATTATCCCAAAAAGACTTTTTTAAGAGTTAAAAATGTTTGTTATCACGCAAAGTAACATTAAAACGACGTATAACTGCCAGGGATATTTAACTCGAATGGTTTGTCTTTATTTAAGATTACAAAGATGAAGATCCCACTGTTGCCTGCGTGGGTAACTAAGTAGGTACCCAGTTTGTGCTACCTGCGGTTGACGAGCTGCAGGGCGGCGGCGAGCGAGCGGTGCGGGAACGCGGTGCCGAGCTGCACGTAGTACTCGCACGACATCTCCCCGTCCGAGCAGATGTCGTAGTCCTTCTCCTGCGCCTACGGAATGCGTCATTGCACTAAATGACATGCTCCGGCATCATGGGTGGGCTCGACCGGAGTGATACCACGGCCTTACAGAAAACCGGCGTGAAACAACCACAGCGTTGTGTTTCGCCGTGTAAGTGAGGTTACCGAAGCCTAATCTTCCCTTCCCCCAATCCTTTCCCAATAAAAATCTCAGAATCCCCAAAAAGTCGGCAAAACACTCGTTACTCCTCCGTTGTTGCGGGTGTCCATAGGCGGCGCTGATTGCCTTCCATCAGGTAATCCACTTGCTCGTTTGCCTACTTATCGCATAAAAAATAAAAAACAACTACCTAACTCAATAAACGTATATAAAACATCGCACAACACAACTGTTTCCTTTTTTGAAGTTAGCCAAACATTTGGCTAAAGTCTCGAGAGCATGGAGGATATTATATCATAGTTACAGTAGTAACTCGGGTAAACTAGCAGGAACAACTTGTTCAGGAATAGGGAACCGAGGCCAGCTGCTCAAGTATTTATGAAAAAGTTGTCTCTCCTTCCAGTGCAGCGCGCAGTCTGCAGCCGCTGCACTGGTTACGGCCCCGCTGTGTGCTATAACCCGGACTGGTTCGTGTTTATATCATCTACTCATATTATCATCATTCAATATTCAGCGCTAAACTATTTCGATGCAAAACAGTTTCATATTATATTTATACGTGATAACCAAATATATGTTACGCATTTTGGTGTTATAATGGGGTCTTCATAACCATCAATTTATAATGAATATATTTTATGTGACAGAGCGGGAAACGATCCCAAAGATGAGACTGATGGTAAGCAATCGACGCCGCCTTCTGTCTGTCTGTTTGCTTTTCTTCACGCCTACTGAACCGATTTCTGTGAAATTTTGTACAGACATAATTTGAAACTCGACAAAGGACATAGGATAGTTTTTATACCGAAGATCTGCAGGAAGTCACTATTCCACGCGAACGAAGTCGCGGGCAAAAGCTAGTATGTAATATATAAGTTCAAGTTCAAAATATTTTTCTTTACGATATATCAGAGATGTCTCAGTAAATGTTTATGTGGGAATACATTGAACGACCTATGTGTGTGACCCTTCAAAACCAAAGTAAAGTACATACGAGTACACAACATACTCGTTTACAGAGACTCAACATGCCTCGGAGACCGGCACGATCGGGCTCTGCGTAACAAACGATGTTTTTATTTCAGCTTTATCGCTGACCTCGCTTCAAACACTGACAAATAACCCCTCAAACGTATTCCGAGCGCACGGCCGCGGCGTCCCATTGCGGACATTAACTATACTCGTCTCCGAATCATAATAACATCACTAGGTCTGTAGCCTCAAGGTGATTACGTCGATGAGTCTCGTCCAGGACTGATCTCCTCCATTAGTATAGATTTACCTGCGAGAGGGCGCTGAATGCTAATGTTCACAATTTGTGTTAGTGTTAGTACCGCAGTCAGTGTGACGGCTCACCTAATGGCTTGCCTGATACACACATATACCTGGCTAGTTGTACATAAGTATACTTCATATGATGGTCCATCTGTTTGATCTCGTTAATGCATTGTATTTAATACTGTTCGCTTATAACTACTTCATAATATGTATGTGTTACAATAGAAAATAAACGAGTACTCGGCTACCTATTAAAAAGAACGTGTCCTAGATTCAGTTTATTGTGCGGTAGCGATGCAAACGTACAGTGCCAGTGCACAGTGCACACACTATACAGCGGTATAAAGTCGACACTTTTGTGTAAGCCGTCACGAGTTCGCTGCATTCAATTGATTCCCTTTAGTCGAGTCGAGATGAAATCTCAGATCGCCGACAAACACTTCATGAATTTTATGAGGCTGACGTTTACATTTTATTGGAGTCCGCTCTTTTGCTAAATTACCACTTTTAGCATTTTGGCATGTCCGAGGATTTTTGTTGCAATGTTACTTTATCCGGTTCCGGGAAATGTTTGACGAAATTGTTTTGCTCTAATATTAACAAGGAAATGCAACCGCGTGGGGGATGGCGGACGAGTATTGTGAAAGTGGATATTCATTGTTTCTTACTAGGATGGTGATATGGTCGGGCGCGTAGAGCAGGGAGTCTGCGAGCACGTGCAGCGGGCGCGCCGTGGCCGTGGAGGAGAGCACGCGCAGCGCGGCGCAGTGCAGCCCCGCGGCGCGCGCGCAGCACCACGCCCCGCCCCGCGCGCCGCCCCCCCCGCGCCACCACGCCGGCCACACCACGAACGGGCCCGCCACCACCGCGCCGCGCGCCGACACGCACTGCGCACGCTCTCATGTAGCTGCAGCTGGCAGAGACTCTAGTGTCTGTGCAGCATCACGGCTGGGCCTTACATCGAGACTGTACGATAGCCAGGACTCCTCCGTCAGCAAGAAGAAGGACGCGTGCTCGGCGAGGCAGTGCAGCAGCAGGCGCGCGCAGTGCACGTCGCCCAGCAGCCGCGAGCCCAGCTCCAGCACGTCGCCGGCGGCGCGCGCGCGGCACTCGCCCGCCTCCGCCGGGGAGCAGCTCAGCACGGACGACGACACGCTCGGCACCAGGACTGCCGGCAGAGCGCAGCCAGTCGGTGCATGTGCCTGCACTACCTACTGTAAGTAGTGCGCAGTGTGCACTGACTGTCGAGCACGGGCGGCTGCATGTAGCAGGCGATGGGCACGAGGAAGGGCCGGCCCGCCGACACGCGCACGAGCAGCGCGTCGTGCAGGGCGCGCACGTCGGTGGGCCGGAAGTGCACGAGCAGGTCGGCGGCGGCGCCGGCCGTCAGCGTGAGGCCGCGCGGCGCCGGCAGCGACACGCGCAGCTCGGCGCGCGCCGGCGGACGCAGCGACAGCCGCACCTCCAGCTTCGACACGTTCACCACCCGGATGCGTTGCTGCGGACAATGTGCACACGCTATTGTTCTCAATCAATACATACATAATTATACTTACTGATACATTAGATACAATAAAAAAAAAATATTACTTCTATTGAATTGAGTGAGATTTTTTATACTTAATAATTACAAAATCGTCGAGTTATTACTATTGCTGCTTGTCTTCACTGTAATAACAATATTGCACAAACGACTACACAACTAATGACTGCTTGCTAACAAATTTTAATAAGCAATGACTAACTTCCCTCCGAGCGACGGGAATTTGGCATTACAAATAATTGTGAGGGCCCGTGTAGCCGGGCGGCCCAATATAATGAATGTCGAAACTTTGATACAATTGAAACTGTTCCGTAATTTCCTTTCGCCAGCTAGCTATAAATCTTGGCATTGGTGATTACAACCAGATGTATAAACGGTCACACGGAAAGTAAATTTATTGTTTAAACACAGGTACATGAGCATTTGTATCCCTGTATGTGTGTGTGCTGTCTATATTTACGTATTTACACGAGTTACCACACGTTACTGAACTTTATGAAGTATCTGTATCAAGCACGGCATGTACTGAATCAGCGGCTCTACTATTGAACTCTTGAACAGTAACCAAAACTTTATTAACACAAATACCTATCGATGTCGGTGAAATGAAATTGTACTTCGTAAAGCCTCTCGGCCGGGTCGGTCATGGTGACAGTTCTCGCTAACTAGACAAGCCAATTACGCAGGACACAGTAATGTGAGCTCGAACTGCCTAGTAGTAGTAGAACTTTCCTCAGTGAATTCAATCGAGTAAGTCGTATTTCTTTTCATTCACTTTTACATGTCTTACATGCTCGAGGATGAACCACCGCCGAAATTCCTGACCCCAGGCTGATAATCGCCCAGATTTTTGCCCGACACGCTGTACAGCAATCAAAGACACAGGTGCGTCAACCGAATATGTTGATACAATAACACGAAGACAGAGTGGACTTATTTCTATAAAAGTAATAAATCGGTCACCGTGTGAAGCTGTCCCACGGAAAAGTTAATAAAGTTGAGTTCTGGCGGCACGCAGATGATGTAGTCCTGCTGCGGGGGCGCCGGCGGGGGCGGGGGCGCGAGCGGAGGGGCGCGCGGCTCCACCGGCCCTATACTGCGCATACACAAACATTATTCTCAACTACACTCGGCACTACAGGCCATAGTTTCATAATATATGTCCATTGAGTAGTCGCCAGTGACTAATTCCGCAAGGTGAAGCAAAACATTATTCGAATATTAATAATGTGGAAAGAGTGAAAAACTTTTTTTATGCGATATGTGTAAGCAATTGGCGCCGCCCAGAAGAAAAGAAGGAAAAAGAAACGGGAAAGAAAAATGTTTTTGTAAAAAAATTGTTGTTATATTATATTTTCCTAAATACATATACAGGCATGGAAATGGCAAGATACAATGTTTTTTAAATAAAGACAAACATATCTAGGTAGCCAGCACCACATACTGCACGAGGCAGGCACTTTGTTATGCTCTGAATGCTCGGAATAAACTCACAGAGCTCCCTCATACGCCTATTCTGTAGCGTAAAACCGAGGAAACATAGCCATGGTACATACCTACATAGTATGGCATTGGGAGCCGCTACTTGTCAGTTTTGAGGTCAGTTCAGAACATTAACATAACTAACTATCCAGTTTAGGGCAAATCTTATTGATATGCAGTTTCCAACTGCAGTGTTTGTCATTAGGTATTACTACAAGTGTGTTGCCGGCCTTCTGTGCCTTATTAGGGATTTAAAGGTACGGGATTGGGGAATTTTTTTCAAACATTAGGAATTTTTGTAAGATCAGGAAATCAAAAAAATCACAGCGAAATTGTAATATTGGTGACCACAGAACTTGAAAACGTGACTGAGGGTGTCGAATTTCAACTTTTTTTTAAAATGTCTATTATCGCTGAACTCAGTGATATGGAATTTTTTTCCTAGGACTGGTATAACTTGGCCTTTCATCCGGTCTCAGATTATCGTTGAGTTTTGGGACATATATACAGGATATTGTACTAATTGCGCGATAAGTATTCACCTAACTGTAAGCTATTCTCCTATTTAATGGCAGCGTCAGTAACAAACGGCTGCGATCTGGTTCACGAAGTTAATGTCCCGTATGATACGGGACAACCTTCAGTGAATCGGTAACGATGGCCAAACATTGGCCCTGGGCAGCGCCGGGCTGCCGCAGCTCGTGTCCTGTCCGTCATGCTCCGAGTACACGACACTACGGCTTAATCCCGTCACGTCACCTGCTGTACGCATTAACGCTGCCGTAAATAACGGCCCTCGCATTACAATGACACCCGGCCCGGCTCCGACCCGGCACCGGCCCGCCACCGGCCGGCCCACGCACACGACCACGTTTATATTTATGACGTTTGTATTACTTTCATAAAAATATTAAAAACATAATATTTATGAGGGTCCAGCCCGTCGTACGTGTCCCTTTAGATATTTGCGCGATTAACATTTTACGATGATTTGCCATAGTTATTGTGTTCATTCCGTCTCACATAATCTGTTACTAGGCCACAGTTGGAACAGTACTCGAGGTTACATTGCATATTTTAATTAACACTTGTATTCACATTTTATCTCATTTTATTAATGCGTAACCCTAATAAAACGTTACCTCCAACGTTGACTCCCAGAACTGTTAATTTAGTAGTGAGTATGTTCAGTCCAGTGGCTACCTGAGCGTCTGCAGGCTGGGGTCTCCGTCGCGCCAGGTCGGCAGGCGCTGCTGCGGCGGCGGCAGCGAGCATAGCGACTCGCCGGCCGAGCTCGCCTCGCACGAGCTGTGGTTCAGGATGTTCTTTATCCATAAGCTGTGCTCACCTACAATGCAAGATAGTTATCTTTGTTTGGGAGCTCCAGTGCAGCAGTCCTACAGTCAGTGCTTAGTGCAGTTCTGAACTCTTTATGGAGTGGATCACCCACGCCATAAAGAGTGATTAGATTAGCTGAACCTAGGTATTACTAGAACTAGCTAGCTCATTACCGGAGCAGGAGAGTAGCAGCTGAGCGCTTACTGTTACTGGAGCGCTTTGAGTGCGTCACTAGGCTGAGAGTAATCTAGTTAGCGCGTTCTACAAGTGTCAGTAATTGGCTCGCTATTGTCGGCCCGATTACATAGCTGTTGATCAATACTGAACATGGAAAACTAATTTTATTATTCGTTCTTATTACAGCTGTCAACTAATGTTGTCCTACTGTTCAACGGTCATATAGGTCAGAGTAGCGATTACACCAACTTAATCACAGCGGGCTAATATTGGTGAAAAACTTAAATAAAGACAAGAGGTACTACACCGCCCGCAGACGGTGAATGTAAATAGTGGAGGAACAGTGAATGAGTGTACGCGCGGCGTCCTGGTGCAGGTCGGGCACGAGGTCCCGGCGGGCGAGCAGCGCGGCGGCGAGGCGCCAGCCGGGCGGCGGCGGCAGAGGGCGCGGCGCGCGCAGCCGGTACAGGTTGCGGGCCGCGCCGCGCGCCACGCGCCGCGCCTGCTCCTGCTTCAGCTCGCCCTCGCGCCGCCGCATCTCCTCGCTCTGCACCTTGTACTTCTCCATCTGTGCACACACCTCCACGTCACACGCACACTCCACTTGGATGAAATAACGTTCTTAACATAATATCATCGTGTACTGTATCTATAATAATGTGATATTGGTGACAAATAATATTCAGTAGAATCTCTAGAAAATTGGGCTGCCAAGTTTTGAACCTTGGTCGAATCAGTCTTCTACTCACATTTGTACAAGATTATTATCACGCCAGGCAAATAGCTGTTTTATTACACTACTTTCTGGCAAAAACACTAATGTATATAACGTGACCTACATACATAGTAATCGCGTTCGCAGCCGGGCGACACTTCACTAACAAACTTGATTGGCCTTGAATGACAGCTTCTCAAGAAATTGTCGTAAAAATAAATATTAATAGACGTTAAAGTTCCCAGCCGCTGGGAGCCGCTGCTAAGGGATTTCATTTACATTTTTGTAACTTTGCTTATTTAGTATTATCATTCCATTTACATGATGTGAAATTGTCCGACGTCGTTCGGTGTTACACGCCGCACTAACTCCGCTTGAGTTATAAAAACTTGTACCTACGCAATTCATGTCGTGGAACAACACACAAACAGCAATGTGTGTGTTGGTAGCCACACTACACTCGCACGATCAGTTTCCAATAAAGATTCCTCAGTAAAATTGTCCACTTGAAAAGGAAACAACTTCTTACAAAGCGTGTGATGTGTAATGTGGTGTGAGTGTGAGACACGCGTCAACTATTTCGAACCTGTACTCAACAATTCACGAATATTTCCACTCGCTGGAAATTCTTTCTTAACAAATTTTAGGTACATCACTTACAATATGGCTGTTATTTAACTACACAAAATACGGGAAAGATATAAAAAATATTAGAACATTAAAAAAATTACTGTTGGCGTAGCAGAAGACATTGCACTCTATTCTAATATTAAATTCATAATTCCACTTGGATACACGTAAACGTTTGCAAAACCAGATGTATAATAATATTGTGAAGTTAACCCTAACAACTTTAAAGTTTTCAGAAATAATCTATTATGCGCATAGTTTAAAATATATTAACCACTACAAAATATCGATGACTTCACTGTAAACTTGTAGTTAAGTCCAAACCCCAGAGTTAGTATAAGCGCGGGTCTGTGGGCGGCGAGTAAGGCTAGCTCACCGCCCACCAAAACCAGATCTGAGCATACGGCGCGTAGCGTTCCGCACACGACGCGACGGTTCAAAGAGCCATCAAACAACCACAGATGGGGGCGAACAGCTGATGTTCAGCCATGGTTACAGGTTCAAGTGCAAGAATGTACCATGGCCTTGGCCTTGAGCAAGAGAAGGAAACGGGTGGCTTTTAGTCAGTAAGAGTCTGGCACTCCTAATTCGCTCCACCTAGAAGTCATTTAATTATTTTCCACTCTTAAAAAAGTAATAGCGTAATCGCTATTACTTTTTTGTATAAGCTTTGAAGATGTAACTTTGCAGTATGTACGCAAGTATATTATATATTAAATGGCTCTCCTTTAAAGTACGGGTTCTAGTCATACTACAGTTTACGTGAGAGCCATCAATTTAAATTTGCCAAACTCTGTGCAATATGTGTCAATATTATGGCGGGACCAAAACTCACGACATTCCGTTTCAATAAATGATTGTGAATCACAAGCTACATTGTGTCACTAACTGAAAATAAAGAACTAAATAATTCACAAGTAAACTGTTGTAGTGCAGTTCCTGTATGTAATGTCGACTCGTTTCAAAACATTAAATAGTGTTGTTTTATAGTAAAGTGTTTAACTAAACAATAAGTTGGCAAGCTTCCCGCCACGCGGTGACCTATGGTGGCGCTCCAGTTGTATACTTGAGTATAATTTTACTAAAAACTAGAGTCCAGATTATATGCAATTGCTTATTTGCATATGCAAATGTAAAACTGCGAAATTTTGACAAGCTTTTACGTTTGCACGCTATTTCTCACTAATGAGTCATATTTGGATAATCCAAATATCATCCTGTCATCTTATGCTTTTTATGAGTGCATTATGTTGCACGTATAGGTACTGACCCAGCGGTCGGGCTGCGCGCCCGGCGCCTGCTCGAGGTATGCGCAGGCGAGCGGCGCGGGCAGCTCCGTGGTGAGCGGCGGCAGGTAGTCCAGCTCGCGGAACACGCTGAGGATGATGGGCCGCACGTCCGCGCACAGCGACCTGCACCACGCACACATACTCACACTGCATACCCCCAGCGGGACGGCTCCCTCGCACCTCATACTCACCCCTTCTCGGGAATCAATGGCAAATTCTCCCCCATCCTTCACACAAGTAGAAAGAATCAAATCGTACAATACACAAAGTACAAGTAGCTAAATAAAAGATAAACAAATAAAAACGGCTTCTGTAATATTTCCAATATGTTATCAGAACGACTTTGACAAAAGGGACAAACTGTCACTGCCACTGACGGCGGCACTCGCTCGGGACTCGAATAAAAACTTGACGCAATATACAAATGAGGTTGTAGCTCGTCTCATTGTACATTAAATATATGTCGTGAGTGTGTGTGTGTGTGTGTGTGTCCGCTGATGCCTTTTGGTAGCTTTGAATATGTTTGACTTGTATAGATAATTCAATTTATTTAAACTTTCTTCGACGACCGCTGGGAGATGAACGTCTAATATTTATGTACGAGTAACATAGTAGAGACCTGTTTATTTTGAAGATTTCTAGAAAACAGTATAAAAGCGGCTCATTGGTCAGCAAATAGTAGAAACTACTTTATTGTGACACGAGGCGCGCTCGAGCTGACGCTGGCAGCCGGCGGCTGCTCACTTGAGCAAACTAATTCCACTAAGCTCAATTATTTACGAGTTGCGAGCGCCGGCATCGCTGCTTGCCAATCAGGAGTAGAAACTTAAAACTAAATCCTGATTGAAACTCTTTTGTTTTTTTTTTCTAAATTGGTTTATTTTTTACCCGACTGCCAAAGAAGGAGGGTAATGTTTTTCGAGTGTATGTAAGTATGTATGTATGTCTTTTCCTTTGTGACCTCCTGTAGCCTAAACGGCTTGATGGATTTTGATGTATGAGGTATCGTTAGATTTGTCTTGATTACGGGAGTGTCATAGGATACATTTTATCCTAAAAGTCCCACGGGATAAAGACATAATAATATTTTTTCTAAATTTCCCTTTAAAAAAATATGTATGCGGTATCATTAGATTCATTTCAATCACGGGAGTAATTAATATAGGATACGTTTTTTCTCAAAATTCCCACGGGACATGTTAATTCTGCGTCAACGCAAAGCAACTCATGCGTTAGCAAGCAAAAAGATAGGGCGTGGCCTGGCATGCGGCGCGCGGCGCGGTGCGGAGGGGGAATAAAAAAATAAAAACAGCTAAAAAGTTATAAATAAAAAAAATATTATTAAAAAAACAAAATACCCGACTGCACACTAAAAAAAGAGTAAAACAAGCCCCACAATACAAATTTACTGAATATAATTTATAAATGTTGATGGAAAGCATCGCAGGCGGGGACCACCTTGACCGCCACCAACGAAAATTCTGCTAAATGGTGCACAACAGAAATGACTATAAATAAGCCTCTGTTGGTCCCCGCCTGCGATGCTTTCCATCAACATTTATAAATTATATTCAGTAAATTTGTATTGTGGGGCTTGTTTTACTCTTTTTTTAGTGTGCAGTCGGGTATTTTGTTTTTTTAATAATATTTTTTTTTTAATTTGTAAAAAACATTTTTGAACATAAAGTTGTGTTGCGCAGCAGGCTAATGGAGGCTTAGGTTTGGCACCCACCTACTTAGACAATACACTAGTGTAGCGATAACGTTTCCAAATAAAAACATTAATCAAAGAAGCGAGACTAAGTATCAGATTACTACTCGCAGCAGCATGTACTGGGGCGCGGGGCGGCGCTGGATGTGATCAATGTGTTTACCAACTTATAACGAAATAAGTTTCTGGAACTTGTTATCATTAATTATTTTTTGTGTTCAAAGAAATATATTTGTTTGTAAATGCGAAACGTTAAACAAAGCCATGGTGTCTCGAGTCCATTAGGGAGGCGACTCAGAGCGCGCTCATTCATTGAAACGGAAAATTGAAGGAAAGTAAGAAACGCAAATCACAGTTTCACGCCACGAATAGCAATGAGCCGAGTGCCGAGTGCCGAGTGCCGAGTGCCGAGTGCCGAGTGCCGAGTGCCGAGTGCCGAGTGCCGAGTGCCGAGTGCCGAGGGCCGAGTGCCGGCCTCCACTGAGGTAAGTAAGTGGTTAATTGCTTTCGGGGGGAAGCCACGTTGCACCTTTATTTGTATGGAAGACTTCATTAATATGTGACCAGATAATAGGTCGTGGTTATCCAAGTCTCTAGTCTGTCCTACAGAAGCGTAGAGTGTCTTGGAGGGACCCAGTTATAAAAGTTTGGTTGAGAGCAAAGTAAAATAAACATATATGCAGAGTATTCAAAGGAATGTTTATGGATTAGAATAGTGGAACTAACACTTGTTTGTTGGTTTGCTCCCGCCGCTCATCTCTAGAATAGCAAATTTTGGAAGTATTCAATAATTTTTGCTGATGTAAGTCGGACCCCATTGGCCGGAAGCCACATAATATAATTACCGGCGGTACTACGTCCCTGTAACCTAACCTAAACATGGTAAATATAATTATGTAAAACAAATTGATTCTCGAATGAATGAGTAGTTACCTAGCGTTCGAACAGCTCGGCACAGACAGCACGGAGCGTTCCGAACCTGAGCTCCTTGAACGTTGTATCTTTGTAATCCGTGCCCGTGTTGTATCGGTGAGAGTAATTTTCTTTGAACTCCATTCTAATTTTTTGTCAAAGGAAATTATTTAGAGTCGCCTGAAAATGTTGAAACCCCTTTCTTTTGGCTCGGCTTCCCTTTTCTATTTATTCAAGCACGTTTTTCCTGTAATCGAATCGGCCCACTGAGCTTCCAATTTGACTGAATAAATATGAATTTCAATATTACAAACTAACTAAGTACCCTGAAATTATTTACGCATTCGTAATCACATTTTGGCTTTGAGGTTGGATGTGTGTAGAATTCAAAGTAAAAATAAACAAATATTTACAGCAAGAGAGGGCCCTATATACACCGTACCCAGCATCCTGAGAGCCCTGTAATGACAACCACGTGGCACGACCTATGAAAACCAAAGTACCTATATCTTAGTTGCTGGAACACATTGCCATGTTCCCAAAGTTCACACAAACAACAGTCCACTTATAAAAAATAGATAGCTATTTAATAATTATAATTTAATAAGTTTGTTGCAATGTCTGTAGTATTATTTCTGTAGTTATTTTACTTTATCTTATAACGTTGCGCCCGACCCGGTTCCGCACGGGTGCAATGCTGGCTATGACCCTGCATTTTTAATCTGTATTAGTTACATATATTTATATTTTTATTAAATGCACAATGTTTCTAAAAGGTCACCCATTGGATAGAATTGTAATATGTTCGGTTGCTTAAAATCACTCCGTAAAAAGCTATTCTTCCCGCAAAATGTAATGGATGAAAAATGGTTATTGTGGATTGTCCTTAAGAGACAGACATATACCATTGCGGACTTTTTTGTTGACCTTTTTAAGGTGTACAATACTGTAGTACATTATTTTGATTTATCTCCCAGTTACAGCCAGCGTTTGCAATGAAAGCTGAAAATATGTTTTTGTTTACGACATCACACCAGATAATTCAAAATGATCTGTGTTTCTCTAAAATATTATGAATTTATTTTAAATATAATAATACCTCTTGAATTGCTAGACGTTTATAAAAACCACTTTCATAATTTGTTACGTAGTTTTGAAGATTTTATTTAACATACATAATTTGCCGGACAGACAAACTTACTAATGTATTAGAAAGATGTTTCAGTAGTTTTCATGACTTTGAATTAAAAGTTTGAATGGAAACACGCTTATACAAACTGAAACACAACCAAAACACTATCTTTAAAAACAATAAATATATAAAATCTTTTCAGTGTTTGGTTCGTTACGAACCTAGTCTGCGACACATTCTTCATTGTTGATGACCTGTTGTCTCTTCTAATTTTTTCACGCTTTGACTTTCAACTCAAGTAGAAAAGTTTTGTTTTGTACAACCCAATCCGATTACAGACAACTTAAACATTTAGTACATTAAAGTACCTACATAATGAAAAAAAGAGAGCCATATATTAAACAAGCAAGTCTTATTAATTAAAAATAATTTAGTCGAGAGGGAGAGAACAATAAAGATGGCGAAGGTGTCGAAGATGATAACAAGGGCGATGACGAAGGTAATCAAAATCCAAACAGAGGATGAATATTTTTGAGATTTTTATTTTTAGGACTAAAGTAGAAAAAGAATCCGCAATGCTTAAGAAGGATTTCCGATTGTAAAGCTGTTTAATATTTCAACTTTTTTAATATGCTCCGAAGTTTGAAGGCCAACCAGTTTGAAATCTTAACGGCTAATTATTTTTTCAACGTCTTGAAATAACCTAAGTGTTGTTCGGGTAGTAATAGTGTTGGCCTAAGGGCCAAGCTGCGCTGCCTCGACGTTAAAAATCGGAATTTAAAGTTAAAGAAAGTTAAGAGGCCGATAGTTGATAAATGAATTATGAGTTTTTTGCAGGCGCCAGTTGTTGTCAGACACTCGCACACATTTATGTAATTGGGAATAGAATCTCCAACACAGCGAAAGTCCGGATAATTCGTTGCCTATACTTTACAGACAACTGTTATGAAACACGTTTGTTTTAAAAAAAGCGTTGCCCCACACTATGATTTTCGCCTGGTTTGTGGGTACGTTTACAAACATACACATTACACCCAGACCCGGAACAACAATTTGTGGAACAAACAAAGATTGGGAATCGAACCCGCAACACGTTGCGTGGCAGCCAGTAGCCAGCCACCGCGCCAATCGCGTAGTCAAAAGTTTGGCAACAAGAAAATATGGTTATGTTATTTATGTAGTTTAAGTAATTAAGTAAATAATGGTACGCTTGCCATATTCTAAGCAAAAACTACTTATCGCCAGTGATGTCCCTTGTTGAGGCGCGAAAACAGGCAACGACTTCTCTCGTCCTGGAGAGGAGCTTTATAGTGACTAAAAACTAGTGGTTAGTAGGTCACCATAATGTATTTGTAATAAAATAATGTTAAACGTCGATAGAATAACAATTTTTTTACTGGGCCGAGCCGAATCCGACATCATGCATATTGAATCCTGCTCTAATTGTACACTGCTTATTAGATCGTCTTCTA